GTAAATTCAACAAAGTGATCACTAAACTATCCATCAATTTTTTTAATCAAATTTTACATACTGAAACAAAAAAAAATACGAATTTTTAAAATATAAATATACATTGTGATCCTTACCCTCACGGCCTCACCTAATCTTCTCAATAATTGAATTTGAATGTGATCAACTGATAAAATAATGAATTGCTAAGAAAACGAAAAAAGATAAAATTAGAGTTCGGTTTGATTCGGTACAAGTGACCTTGTTTAGCTCTGTTGTTAAGTCCGGTACAGGTTTTAATTAAAATAATATATTAATGACACTTTTGTCCCTTCTTCAGTGGACTATTCTTTAGGTCTGCCACATGAATTTTAGACAACAAAGAAAGACAATTCAAAATTGGATTTGTGCTTTTAATCAAAGGTGGTGGATATGACAACCACAAAACTAAGGGAGAGTTATTGGGAATAGGATTTGTATACATTTTTTAAATTTTTAAATTTTATTGTTATTGGTTTATGAATTCTTAAATTCTAAAGAAAATCTATTATTATTGGTTTGAGGATTCTTAAATTCTATTTAAAATTATTTGTTATTGAAAAAATTATGTTATCATTAATTTTCTAATTCTATGCTATTGGGACATGGATTCTACACATTTTTACTCATATAACTAAAATTTTAAAATACCATAGATATTCATGAGATTCTTTAAACCCATATATCCTAAAAACAAAAAAATTACAAACACAAAAAACACAACGTCCATTAACTTATTAAAAAAAAGTATAATTCTCCAACTATTCTTTAACGAGTAAAACAAAATAATCATTTGAAGATAGCAAAGTCAAACCATACGATAAGACAAACATATATATATATATATTCTCACGTTAAACAAACATATATACTCATATCAATTAAAAGAAACATATATGCTCACAAACATACATGTTTACGTTAAATAAACAAAGAGTTACCTACGATGGCCGAGAAAGAAGAATGATGAAGATGATGGAAAATCAATAACGTGAGCACTGAAAGTTGTGGTTGATATATATGCTCATGTTACTTTTATTTTTTTTTTAATTCTCTATAAAGCATATATAACATTAACTTATAAAAAGAATTTGAGAAAGAAAAAAAAAACAAATACAAAATCAATAATGATCAATGACAATCCATACAAAATATTTGATAATAATCTTTTGAAATTTGTGAAATTCTATTAAAATTTGCAAAATCCACAAATTTTAGAAATTTTAGAAATCTATACAAATTCATTCTCCAATAACATCCTCTAACGCAATTCAAGTTTTTTCATGATCAGAATGTTATTATGGGCGTTCGTTTTTGCGTTCATAACTAGTTGTGCATTTATCTAAATGATATTGTTTTTTTGTGATTTTGAAATTTGCATTTGTAAGTTCAGTGCAAAAAAAAGAAAGGTAGATGCAAATTTTGTAATCGAAAACCGTATGTTCTGCCTCACCAAATCTTTTTTTC